TGAGGGGCGTCTCGCCGCGGGCCTTGAGCGTCTTGATGCCGTCGTCCTCGCCCTTCCCGAGGACGCCGAGGACGCGCGTCGCCTCGCGCCAGGTCGTCCGGGCCTGCGCCGGGCAGCGGAGGCCGAGGAGGGCGGCGGCGCGCGTGGCGAGCCACCGGGCGTTGTACTCGCCGACGAAGCCCACCTTTGGCCCGCTCGCCAGCGCCAACTCCAGGTCGGCGAAGACGGGGCAGGCGACCGAGGCGTCGACGTTCGCGCCGAGGCGCGCGATGGCCGCGAAGCTCTGGCCGCTGTGGTGGAGCGCGGAGACGCGGTCGAGGAGCTGGCTGTTGTGGCCCAGGAACTTGACGGCCATCTTCGGGCCGTGGATCAGGCCCGTGAAGCCGATGTTGAGCTTGTTGATGCGCGTGAAGTCCGCGTCGTCGAGGGACTTCAAGATCTTGCGGAGCGCCTTGCGGAGCGCGGTCGCGAGGTGGTTGCGCTTGACGGTCGGCTTCGCGAGGAGCGCGCGGACGTCGCGAAGCACGGCCCCCCGGCACGGGGGGTCCTTGACCACGAGGACCACGAGCATGAGCATGTCGAAGATGAAGTCGCCGTGGCGCTCGAGCATCTCCCTCATCTCGGCCTCGATTTGTGCGTCGTGGACGATGTCCGCGGGCAGCATGTCGACCACCGCGAGCGCCTTCAGGCTGTCGACGGTCGTCGCGAGGACGACGTCCGAGTTGCGCAGCTTGGCCGTCGGCCGCGGCGCGGCGGCGGCCGCGCGCTTCCGAGACCGCGGCGCGGCGGGGTCCAGGCGCTTCCGGAGCCGCGGCCCGAAGACGGCGGCGCGCTTCTGGCGCCGCGGCCCGAAGACGGCGGCGCGCTTCTGGCGCCGCGGCATGTCCAGCACGACCGCGGCCTCGAGGCCGTGGCACCGGAGCGCGGCCTCGGCGCTCTCGTTCGGCACCTTCTGGTGCATGGCCGCGTGGACGTCCGGGTCGACGTCCGCGAGGCAGTGGCGCCCGTCCATGTGCTGGCGCACGCCGTCGTCGAAGATGACGTCGTAGGTGCCGTTGCGCCGCACCTCGCGGATCGTGCCGCCCCAGCACTCCTGGCCCGGCACGTCCTTGAAGAGGGCCCAGAGGCGGTCGCCGACCTCGAGGCCCGCGGCGTTGCGCGCCTCTAACGGGACGCCGTCCGGCGGATCGTCCGCGACGGCCGTCTCAGCGTCGACGGCGCCCGGCGGGTCGTCGCCGCCCGGCGGGTCGACGTAGTCCGCGGACGCGGAGCCGCCGCCCGGCGGGTCGACGCCCGGCGGGTCGACGTCGTCCTCGGGCGCGGAGCCGTCGCCGTCCAGCAGATCGTCCGCGACGGCCGACTCGTCGTCGTCGCCACCCGGCTGGTCGTCGCCGCCCCGCGGGTCGCCGCCGCCCGGGGGGTCGCCGTCGTCCTCGGACGCGGAGCCGCCGCCCGGCGGGTCGACGTCGTCCTCGGGCGCGGAGCCGGGGGGCTCGAGCGCGGGCGCGCGCGCCGCGACGTCGCCGGCCGGCGGCACGTCGACGCCTTCGACGCCGACGCCGTGCTGCGCCAGCGCCGCGGCAGCCACCGGCGCCAGGACCGCACGGGCGTCGACGTCGTCCGCGGGCGCGGAGCCGTCGCCGAAGCCGCCGTAGCCGCCGTAGCCGCCGTAGCCGCCCTGGAAGCGCGGCGCCAGCGGCGGCGCGGCCGCGGGCGGTGCCGCGGCGCCCAGCGCCGGCGGCGGGAACCCGCGCGCGGCGGCGTCGGCGACGACGTGGCGGCCGACCAACTCGTGGATCTCCTTGGCGACCGCGCCCTGCTTCGGCAAGAAGCGGCTGCTGCCCTTGGCCCGCGAAGCGTCGTAGGCGACGCTCACGAGGCGCATCGCGAGGCAGAGCACCGGCGCGGCGCGCTGCGATCCGGCGCGGCGCGCCTCGAGGGCGCTGTCGAGCTTGGGCAGGAAGGCCTTTTTCATCATCATGTCCTGCACCCGCTTGCGCGCCGCGTCCGACAGCGGCGGCGGCGCCGCGGTCGCGGCCGCCAGCGACGCGACGAAGTCGGACAGGTGGCTCTGGTTTGAAAACGCGCCGCCGCGCGATTTGAGGTAAACCTCGTCACCCATAGCTGCCCATCCTGAGCGCGTTGGCAGCAGCTCTGCTGCACCTTCACTGCACAACCACGAATTTGGTTAACATCGGCCATACAAGGAGGCTGCCCTCAGAGGACGATGGCCGGGTGTGCGATTTGAATCGCGCACCTGCGACCTCCACGACCTCCGCGACCGCGTCGACGCCGCCGTCCAAGCTGCCCGAGGGCGAGCGGTCCAAAGCGCAACCGCTGTTGAGTCACCCGGTCTTAGTTCACCGCGAGACTCCAGCAACTGCACATGGATCGTGAGCACGACGCTCAGCAGCGACGCAATCGTCGGCGTCGGCGGCAGAGCGGCCCGCGACCCGGGCGGTCGTGCTCTACCCCGGCGCGCCTGGCGCGGGCGCCCCAGCACGTGCTCGAGACACGAGACGCGCTCATCAAGCTCGCAGGCGCGCCCGCGAGCTGGCGGCCCAAAGGACCGCTGAGCAAGGTAGCGCTCCGCGCGGCCTTCCAATGGGTGCTCGACGACGCCGACGAGCACCAACGCTCCCGCCCGCTCGAGCGCTTGCGCGAGCTATGGGCAGGAGCAAGGGTGATTGAGTTGGATAGATGTGCGGACGACGAGCCGATGATACCGCCGCACCAAGAAGGCTTCTACACGGACGACGTCGCCGCGGCGAACGAGCTCCACAAGCTCCACGAGGAC